CAAGTGGAAATCACACAAAATCCTAGAGTTAAAATCATGATTTCTTAAATCAGATGGAAACTTTCACTTTTCAAATATCAAAAATATTATATGTATAGGTTAAAAATTAAATACATAATTTTCATCCCAACCCTAGAACCATTTTCTCCCTCTCTTCATCTTCTCTCCTTCCTCGCGTCGTTGCCAATCATCCCTCATCACAATGCTACTCTCATCCATCGCACCTTCGTTGACGACGTTGTACCAGTCCAGCCTGTTAGGTTGTGTGCCCATATAGTATAGTTTTGCTAATATAAAAATAACAATAATTTTTATATTAAATAAAATTATGTTTACTTTATTTATTGCATTTATTTATTGAGCATGCGAAATTAAAGTGCCTATGATCATTTGTGATAATATGAGTTGAGTACTTGCGTTGAGAAATACAATGTGACACAATTTATATTTTAATCATAAATAGTTTGTTCACAATCTATGTATAAGGGTTGGCACCTTATATTGGAAGGTTGTAGTGTTGACCAATTCACTATTCGGGTTTGTGATTTATCTTTATTACAGAAATAGTTAAAAGTGACATTAGTACACTTGAAGTGTATTGAACGGACCACGTGTCAAATTTAATTTTATAGCATGATTGTGCGGAGAATTAAATTCCACTTGACCACTGTGTATTTCATATGAATCCCTTGACAAAATTATGTATATCCTTTTGTGATTTTAATGGTTCTTTGATTCATCAATGGGTGAGATCAATTTGATTGGTCAAATATCTCGATGAGTTGGGAACTTGAGAATGAGCGAAATAGAGAACATGAATTCATGTCGGGAACCATCACCCTGAAAAGTAGGTAGAGTGACTGCTTGAGTATTTTCTATTGAACGGTTAAAATCTGAGATCATTGTTTAGCAACGGCTAAATTTCGACATCTATTATTTGTTTACAAGACTGTCGAAAAAAATGAAACTTAAGTTAGTGAGAATAATTAGAGGGGCAAAACAGTCATTTATGCTCGTACCTAATTATCGGATCTCGGACGGGGATAAAATATATATACGACAGGTCAGAGGAAAGTATTACAGATATATTGGCTTCTGCGATCTTATATATTTCGAGAGTTTAGTCTTTTACCTTTAGTAGAAAAAGCAAAGACTAATAATTAGATTGAGTGGTCTAGGGTCGACTAGACAGGATCTAATTATTGGAGCTTGAAAAATATATATCCGATCAGGTCCCTATGGTAGTTTCATAAAGTATTGGAACTTAATTATGGTAATTATAATAGTTTTTGGCTTAATTGTAATGACAATAAAGTTTTGTACTTGGTTATAATTACTATGAAAGTTATAAACTTAATTGTAATTGTAATTGAAGTTCTAGGACTACACGTGCAATTAAATGTAAACTAATTAGAATTAGATTTAAATTAGAATTCCTACATGGGTTTTAATTAGAACTCTTGTTTGAATGTGAAATTATAATTGTATTAGAATTGTAAATAGAGACTAGATGGTTAGGAAAATACTACAACATTCATAATTCCATATGATTCAAATTTGTAGAGAGAAAATATTTTATTTTCTTGTTATCCAAAAATTCAAAAATTAGTTTCTGGATTAATTGAAAGAAGGTGCCCACACACACTGGTGTAGTCCTTGCTTTGGAGAATACCATAGAAAGTTTGAAGGTTTGAAGCACCAAGATTCTTGCAATTAAAGGAAATGGAAGTTCGCGGATCAGAGTTATTTGAAAGGTTGATAATTGAACTTAAGTAAAATATTCGAATCCTTTAATTTTATTATAACGTACACGTGAACATCTAGACGATCTTACTTATTGAATTAAAGAAAAATTTAATTTCTAATTAATTTCGCTTTCGCATTCCTACACAGCCTTGTCTCAATGTGAAGATGTGGTTGTTGGAGGTCCCTTGCACCAGCGGCTACAACAATTTGTAGCAGTCCAGCCTCATCGCGATTTGAAGCAGTGGGTGGTGCTACAAGGTTAGGTAGCGACGCCAGCGCAGCAATGTGAAGCGCCGATCTGCAACGTCGCCTTGATTTTGTTGGGAGTTTTTTTATTGGATCTACTATGCGGTGGTGGTTGTTGTGACGGGTAGTATGTGTGTGGGGTGGTATAAGTGAATCTGGTGGTTGATTTTTTGGGAATTTTTTTTATTCGATCTATTGTGAGCAATCAACGACGATAGTGGTGTTTGTGGTTGGGGTTTGTGTGGGACGGCGTGGGTGACGTGATCTGATGGTCACTGTGGTGGTGGTTTTAGACGGCTGCTGGTGGTGAAGGTGGTCGGATCTGGAGGTAGTTGTGGTGGTTTTGGCATGGGTTGTGGTGGTTGGTTTTTGTCACTGTGTTGGTGGCATAGGCGATGCTATTTGGTGGTCTATTTTTCATGACAGTGTTGCTGTCGATGATGGTGGTGGTTCCGACGATGACGGTGGCAGTGGTGCTGTTAGAGGCGATGGTTGTTGCAAGCGTTGATGGTGGTCACAGCTTATTTTGTTAATTGTAACCATCAAATTGTATAATTTGTGACCAATGAACAATATGAGACCGATGAAAAAAGATAAATTGTGACCAAAAAATAATGTGTGACCTAAAAAATATTAATTCTATGACTCTCTAATAAATTGTGACCTATAATATTGGTGATCTGTGACTGATAAATAAATCGTGACGTATTAATTTTTGATGTGTGATCGTTAAAAAAACTGTGGCCTATAAAAATTTTGAATTGTGACTGTAAAATAATTTATGACATTTCAAAATTATGATTTGTGATAGAATAATAATATGTGACCAACTAAAATGTAAAATTTGTGACCAAATTGTATAGATATGTGACCTTAATATAACTAATTAATAAAATATATAATTAATTAGCTAAATCATAAATAAATTTTATTAAATATCTTATTTTTGAATGTTCAAACCTTTATTTTTAGTTTTGAAATGGGCAATACGTATTATCTTACTTTTGAAATTTTCCTTTTCATCAATTATAAAAGGAAAATTGCAACTGCAGTCCTCATGTTTGCACTTTTTTTTTCTCTAACTTTCATTTATTGGTAGCGCTATCTTGAACCGTTCATTTGTTTGTGGCTTCACTTCCCACTCATGATTTCTGTCCAAAAATATATTTTAAATTGTTTATGATAAAGACCTTTAAAGCATACTCTGGTGGTGAAATATGAAAAGATAAATAGACCTATTTGTAGATAAGTGTATGGTTTGTCAACAAGTGAAAGCAGAATATCAGAGACCGTCAGGACTATAAAATCTACGACTCTATTCTTGAGTGAAAATGAGAGCACATCGCCATGAATTTTGAAATTGGGTTTCCAAAATTAAATAGAGGAAATGATGTAATCTGGGTTATTATCGACAGATTAACAAAATTAGCTCACTTCTTACCAGTAAAGATAACATTTAATATGGATGAATTAGCTCAGCTACATGCTATAGAGGTGATAAGATTACATGTGACCCTAGTCTCTATTGTGTCTGCTAGAGATCCGAAATTCATCTTGAAATTTTGGAAAAGTATGCACTAGGCAATGGGGACTAAGCTAAACTCCAGTACAGATTTTTATCCACAGCTAGATGGTCAGTCACAGAGAACTATTCAAATTATTGAGGACATGTTTCGAGCATTTATCCTAGATCTTAGAGGAACCTGGGAAAACATCTACCATGGGTAGAATTTGTCTATAAAAATAGATATTAGACCACTATAGGAATAGCCCCCTTATAAGGCTTTGTATGGTATGAGGTGCAAATCTCCAGCTCATTGGGATGAAATTGGTGAGCGAAGAATTCTAGGATGTGAGATTATTGAGCGAGCAATCCAAGCTATTGAGAAGATTTGGGCTAGAATAAAGATTGCCCAAGATTGATAGAAAAGTTATACATATAATAGGAGGATGGATATAGAGTTTGAGGTTGGTGACAAAGTTTTTCTAAAAATAACTCCTATGAAGGGAGTTATTTGATTTGGCAAAGGGGAAGCTCCAACCAAGATACATAAGACCTTTTGAAATTTTGAAATGTGTGGGAACTATGCCTTACGAGCTGACATTGCCTCCCGAACTTTCAGCAGTGCATAATGTCTTTCATGTCTCTATGCTTCGAAAATACGTATCAGATCTTGGCCATGTGATTAATCCTAAATCGTTAGAAATTCATCCAGATCTAACTTACGAGGAAGCTCCAATAGTCATATTGGATAGGAAGATTCGAACAATTCGAATAGAGAAATTTCATTGGTAAAAGTTTAGTAACGAAATCACGCGGTGGAAGAGTCCACTTGAGAACATGAGGTAAATATGAAAGCTAAATACTCAGAGCTTTTCGATAACCAAAGTAAATTTTGAGGAAGAGATTTTTTAAGGAAGGGAGGATGTAATACCCCAAAAATTCGTACAATATATATTACTAGGCATAAATGCAAGTTTTGAGATTTTAGGGTAATTTAGCAACTTTATCATTTTATAGGGATTTTGTGCCAATAATCCTAATGATCGAAAATAAGAGTTTTAACGAAATTTGAATTTAATATTTGTACATATATTGAATTATTATCGGATTATTTGATATAAAGTATTTAGATAAATTTAGAATTCTAACATATTTATTCTAAAATCTTATTAATGTAGTTAGAATTTTCTTTGATAAGATTGTTTGTTAAGAGTTCAATTTAAACTCTAATAAGAGTCCTATTAAAATTTTAGGTAGATCGTTATCACTATAATAACTATTTAATTAGTATATATATGCATTCAATTTATACCAACCTATAGAAAACAGTGAGTGAGAGAGAGAGAGAATGTATGATTAAAAGATTTAATTTTATTAAAAAAATATGACTAAAGGACAATGATATATACATAAAGTTGCCATAATGGTTTACAATCATGAGTTAGCAAATTTTTATACATTGATGTTTACCATATATCTTTCAATCAATTGTAAATGTTTACCCTCTTATGCAGAGGATGTCAATCAACAAATACACCTTTATGGGTACAAGTGGGCATTGCAATGTCTTTGCCTGCACAAAAGTTACGTAAACACTTCCTTCCCCTTTACCCAACTCTAGACCCAGGTGATATTTTCAAGGGTTTCTGTTTTTTGTTGATTTTTTTTTATTTAAAATTCAGCTGATTCATTCATTGATGTTCAATGGATGAGGAGGAGAGAAAGAAGTATCCATCACTTCCTCCGGATTATGTTTCATTGGTCCAACTCAAAGAGCGATGGCTCCAGAAACAAGAGGAAGAGAGGAACGGGAATGAAAAGCGCAAGAAACAAGAAGAAATACAAAGGTTAGAAGAGGTCCAGAAGCCAAAAAACGAAAATGATCATAGAATTGCAAAGGATTATAGGGATAGGAAAAATGAGAAGAAAGTGGAGGCTCATTCTGCGGGATATGGACGGCGGCAGAGATTGGAAAAAGATGAACAAAAGATGAGAGTGAAAATAGGAGGTTCTCGGGGTGAGGGAAAAATGGGTGGAATCGACAAGGAAAAGAAAAAGAAAAAGAAATATCGGCAGAAGAAGAAAAAAAATTGGGCGGTTGGGGAGAATGGTGGCGGAGATACAGAGAGAGTAGTGATTGAAAATCAGGAGGAAAAGGAAATTCCAGGAAATGGGAATAGTTGTAATGATGAGTGGATTCACGGTAAAATTGAGAAAAACGTTCTTGATTGCGCTGAAATTTTGTCGAGAAATGAGGTAGTTGGAATTCTGGAGGGATCGAGCAGAAAAAGCAGTGTGAAAGATGGTTTTTGTGGTGAATTACAAGAAACTGAAGGAACATTCAGTGCGAGTACTGTGGAGGTTTTGGCGGAAAATGGAGGGAGGGAGAAGATGGGGGTGTTTAGCGGAAAAATATGGAAGAGAAAGGAATATAGAGGTGGGTTCAAGAGGAATGATAAAAATGGGAAGACCGAATACAAGATGAAAGAAAAGAGTGTCGAAAAAAATGAATTGAAGGGCAGTGGAGAATTGTCATTAGAAAAGAAGGAAAAAGAGAGAACTGAGTTTCAGAGGGGGGCCCCAGGGGAACAAAATGGGAACGAAAAGGGATTTAGAGGTGGATTCCAGAGGAATGATAAATATTGGAGGGCAAGCACGATGAAAGAAAAGAGTGTTGAAATATATGAATTGAAAGACACCGAAGAATTGGCATCAGAAAAGGAGACAGTGAGAAATGAGTTTCAGAGGTGGGCTCGAGATGAAAAATATAGGAACCAAAATGGATTTAGAGATGGGTTCCAGAGGAATGATAAAAATGAGAGGACGAAAGGAAAAAGTATTGGAATAGATGAGTTGAAGGGAAGTGAAGAATTGGCATCAGAAAAGAAGGAAGGAGAGAGAAATGAGTTTCCGAGAAATGGAAAGAACAGGGGAAGGGATTACAAGGTCAAAGGTTATGGAGTTAAAGGGGAAGATCTAAATGGCACTGGTGTCACACCTGAGAAGGTGGCAGATGATGTTTCAGTTGGTGAGAGTGTAAGAAATGATGCAAAGTGGGGAGTCAGGAATGGATTTAGGAGACAGGAGAATAGGATGGGTAAGATTGGAAGAAAATTTGGGAACTTGTCATTGAATGATGGGAAAGTGGGTGATTTGGCACCGAAGGTGGAAATTTATGGTGGTGGTAGGAGGAGGTATGGAAATTCTGGAAGATTTGGTAATTTTAATATGAATAAGGTACATATTGGTTTGGCTTGGGTGAAAAGGCAGGAAATCTCTGATGTAAATGCTGCTGAAATTGCTTTCTCAGGTAACAATGGATTCCTCAGCCTGTAATTGAGAATTATTCTCTTGTTTGGTCTGCTCTAGGAATGTAAATTCTGATTATTGCTACCAATGACGATAAGTTTTGAATCTTTTTTTTGGCACATGAAATACTTGATGGATATGCTTTTATGTAGTATACCAAGCTAAGTAACAGTTAAGTGAATGATGTCAATGATGTTGGAGAATTTTCAAAACAACGGAAGGTTATGCAGAACCTTAAAAGTCACTGACAGAAATAATGCCAAATTCAGATGTGAAGATCTGAGAAATGTAGTAGCAAGTGATTGAGTGGTAAAGGGTTCATCAGAATTAATAATGGCTCCCCTTTAGTGGGGTAGGGCACACACTGTTTACAAAAGTTGACTAGAGTCATAGGTTGATCAAGTGTGATAAAGAGTTGAGATCATGTGATCATTCACTTGATTCTTAATCACTTTGTATGCTACCTTTCACTTGCAAACAAATAGATGCAATCTCAGGCATAGGGTTGTGGCTTGATTTTATCAACTGTCAGTTAAACATGAGTTATAACCACCAGGGTGATTGACCTGTCGGATTCAAATCACATAGATTTTACTTTCAGGTTTCAAGATTCTAGTTAAAATTAAAATGAATAGTTACAAGATTTTTGACTGTTTATTTGTGCGTGTTAAAGATTAAAAGAATCAAAGAATTGATTGATAGAAGAACAGGTCACACGGTCAACTTGACCTGTTCAACCACAGAAGGATAGCTCTTTTAAATTAGTCATCTTTGACATATCTAGAAGGATAGCTTGTTTGAATTTAACACCTTTGATATATCTAGAAGGATAACTCTTTAAAATTTAATATAATAGAGTTGTATATGCTAAAAAGTAGGATAGTAGTTGTATTCATCTCTATTTAAAGAGCATGTAATTTATGATTCCATACATAAAACACAGACATCAGAAGCATATTATTCTCTACAAAAACCAAGTTAACAAAAATTTTGTGAGGGATCATAACGATAATTAGCAAATGAAATAGAGATAATCAGGCAAGCAAACTGTCCAAGGAATATGGATGGATTTTTAATTTCTTCATATCTAGACTACTAGGAATGTATGTTATTTTTGCAGACTGCTGGGGTTCATGATGATTTTTATGTGCAGTGCTATTAGCCTGATAAGAAGGCTAAACTGGAAATTTACCATTTGCTATAGTGTGTTTGGGATTGGCTTTATCTGGTTGATAATACATGATATTAAAATACTGATTGGATTTAATATTATATTAACTGAAATCTTATAAGTAACTATTATGATAGTATATAAAACATCAAAATGATTTCAGAACTTTCCTTTCATAAGAGCATCATTCAGGCTCAGATTCTAGTATTCTACAACAAATCTATTGGCCTCTTGACTTCTCACTGCCTGGGAAGTCTATGAACTTTCAATTTTCTTTCAATTTTTCACCATATGAAGATAATATTCTTGCATTAGATTCCAAATAAGCTAGTTGTTTTTATTTCATATGACAATTACAAGAAGTATCTATATTTTGGTTCTTTTAATCACCATTGAGTCAAGGGTGAATCAGAATAGATTGTCTCCCTCAAGTCTGATGTTAACAGCACATGATCTGTGGAAGGAGAAGCAATGGATTTTTGAACCTAGATTCCCAATATAGATTCAATAAGGTGGTGATGCCCATGTATGAAAGAAGGTATTTAAATGCGTAGAACCTGTACACATCATTCACAAAATGGAAAATGGAGATAATGAAAAACAATCACCTACTCAAATTTTTTAAAAATAGCTGTCACCCTCAAAATTGGCAATATGCCTATAAAAATCCCAGAGAAAAGGGTCCCACCTTTAGTGAAGTGCTGACAACTAGATGGTGTTTCCTTGATCAGGAGCAAGGCCTAGACTATGTCAAAGGGGACCTGAAATCTGTTGAGGTCTTGATTTATTAGCATAAGTTAAAGTGACATGCCTCGACATTTCGTTGGAGGTCTAGACCAACGGCTGCTGCTTCCCAATATGGTCTCTCTGGGTAGGAACATGACCCTTACTTTTGGATGAATTGAATATAAATACCTCTCATTGACATTGCATTAGATAGTCTACCCAGGATATTAACATGTTTTAATGTTATAGAGCAAGTTTAGTATTCAATTATTAATATTCAACTACAAGGTTAAAGCCAATTTCTTATTTTTGTATTGGGAGGGATTAGTTGAATAAAATGACGAAAAATTATTCGTGCAACTTTGCAATAAGTCTATGTGCATGTTTGTAAAGATTGTAATAGCTTATAAGCTAGTTAAAACTCTAATTTTATCCTATAATGTTCGGACTCTTCGAAATGGTTAGAGTATCCGTGTCAACACAACACGATACGGGTACGAGTATAGGATAGGTGTTGGATCCTCCAAGTTTCAACCAACCACAGCGTTGTTCTACTTCTTCTTCTTCTTCGTCCTTCTTTTTTTTCTTCCCATTTCTATAAAAGCCTTCTAATTGTTCCAATACACACTCAGAAGCTTTCTAATTGTTCTAATACACATTTCCACCTCCCAAGATAGCTGGAATGGGGGGTTTGGGTGGAAGAGAGAGAAAATTTGTTTTTAGGGGTAGAAGAGAGATGGATGGAGGATGAGCTGGTTTTGGGGGTGGAATTAGGTTGGAGTAGAATTATAATCTGTTATCGGGTAGGTGGCCTATAATATGGCGCTAGGCTTATGTTGGGAAAATTTTATTAGGTAAGTGGGCTGTTTGGTAAATGAAATGGGCTTAGGATAGGAGGCCCAATATCATAAAAGAAGCCTCAAATCTTGGCAACTGTTAAGAAAACAATAAATCTAAAAGTAGTAGTTAAAAATATATTTCTTGTTATCCATGAATAAATAGGAAAATTAAAGAAAAATTGAAGTTTGAAAGGCGTATCTACGTACGTATGTTTGCAATTTGGATTCTTTTTAGCCATGTTTTCATATCGTACATTTTTTAAAATAAAATATACGACATTTAGATAAGTACCCGTACTCGAGTTTGAGTATTATAGCTTTTATTTATACATCTCATAGGACCCACTATTTTTACTTAACCCATTTGTGATCCATATATTGATAGCTACGAGTTGGACCAATCTCTGAAATCCAAGGCAGTCCTTTTCTTTCCTTGGACCGATGATGCGCTTGGGTTGGGTTGGTCCAACCAAGCAAGGCATGGGATCTTAGCACTAAGTTATTTTCAAATTGGGAAGGAGTGGGGAAGTAGAGATCTTAACCATTGAGTGTATTAAAGATGAGAAAAAAATGATATGTTTAGTAGTTATGAGATCCTGGCAAGACGAATAAACTATTTTAACTTGTTATTTGGTAAAAGGCATAGCATTGACAATGAAGATTGTTAACTCCATTACAGAAGGAAATGTTAGTTGTACTACAAGAGATTAATTAGTGGAAGTGAGATATGCTCTGAAGATAATGAAGATAAGGGGAAAAAAAGTTGGTACTCTAGACGAACCTCCTATCCAAGTAGGGGAGTACTGAGGCAAGGTGGGTGTTATATAGTTGAAAGAATCGTTCAAATCTGCAAGAGTAAAAACACATCACATGAATGGAGGTAGATATTAATTGGCTAATTATAATAATGATGCTATGAAATTATGGAAGATGGGGATTGAGCGTGTATTAAGGTGTGATTCAAAGGTTTCAGATAATTAGCGACTACTGCTACAGGATTTTGTGATATAAGAATATCTTTGTAAACTGAAAATCTCAGATATACTTTATGTTGCGAGCATTGGACTATTAAGGATAAAATGAAGGTAGTCAAAATGGGGATGCTAAGATGTATGTGTGACACGATTACGAATTAGCATATAGGTTACCAAGTGAATGTGTGACCGATTAAGAATAAATTTGAAGGACAACTTGGTTGGGACATGTTTTGCTTGGATCTAAAGATACTTGTGTTTATAAGAATGACACGATCTTAGTAGAATATGTGAGAAGAGGGAGGAGCATGCTGAAACTAACATGACCTTGTTTAAGAATCTAGTTGCTTTGGATATTTTAGTAGATCTAGCAATAAATTCAATGGAGCAGTGAAGGACTTGTATAGATGACCTCAAATTAATTGGGAACAAAGGCTTAGTCTTTGTTGTTGATGCTAGCTACATTATGAAGAAAAAATTTGATAAGACTAAACTAAGCTTTAGTGAACTCCATTCATGTATTAACTAAGGTTTTGTTAACTACATCAGAATTGTTATTTACTATTGAGTGATTTCTTATGAGATAAATTCATGCACATGTCTATGCTCAAGTGATTAGCTGGGTATATCAATTGAATTTCAACACACACACACACACACACACACACATACACACATACATAGTCCAATGCTTATCCTACTAATCACTTGGTAGTCTTAAATGCATTAACTGTCCTCCTATGTGGATGAACAAATCCTGAACACTTGGCTAAGAATATTAAAATAAAATAAAAATTGCTGGTTGCTTTGTTGTCACGATGGAGGAGCAAAACCCTACAAAAGATGTTCCCTGAATCCTATTTCCTTGTTCCCAGAATCCTATTTCCTGGTTACAAGGTTTCTAGCTCATATGTTATAGCCACCGACTAGGTATCAACTTTGGTCTATGAGATGAGGATAAGTAATGGTGAGTCAAATTTACGTATACATTCATAAGAACTTGTTTACTTGTAGGAATCTATTACTTAATATTAGGATGCCATGTAAATAATTCTACTCGATGGACCTTTGAATAAGATTCACGAAGATCCATTGTTTCTAGCAAATTTATGTATCTAATATGTTTCTCTTATGAAATTCTGTTTAACTACATTGTTTATTTTACACTCTTTTTGCAATGTAAATTTTTACAGTCTCTGCTAAACATAACGAATGAAACTTTCTAGCATCTGTTTGTTGGAACAAGTACTTTTGTGCACTAAATGAGGATCATTAAACAAACTGAAAGGCAAAGGCATGGCTATAATTTTTGTCGGCATCAGATGTCACGTACTTCAGAGAAGCTTTATTTAGAGCACATCTTTCAGCTAGTCGAACAAATTGAAATCACTTGGTAGCTATTGTCATGGCGGAGTAGACGGAGCCTAACCTGTGCCCCAAGTATACATTGAGTCATTCAACACAAATTGGATAATGTTGCAGAGTTTGCTTTACTCTTATTATGAGCCATTTTGCATTCTCAATTTTCAGTATATATATATCGAGGCATTTTGGATCAAACATTGTCTAAATTGTTACTCTGTTAGAGCAGATGTATTTATATTTTGTTTGTCACATTTCAGGAATGTGAGAAGATGAGGGGTGGCTGCAACTCAAACCAGAGCATATGTGAATATGGTTGTTCGCTATTTTGAACGTGCAGGCTTATTTTTAAAGCCGCAGCAAAGCGTTATTTTCTTGCCGTCTTGCAAACAATGGGAATATGTAAAGATTGAGTTTTGTTGGTATGATATATTGTTCATCCATCAGACATATGAAGAAGAAACTAAGTGCTTGTTTGTGCCCTATTATTTGTGGGTAATATATTATGGAATTGTGATTGATACTGAAATCTATGATTAAAAAAAGAAGGAAATGTTTTGATTTACGTATAATATTATTTTAATGAAGAATGTAGTTGAAAATGAGTACTATAGGAAAAATAATGTGGTAGAATGTGAAAAATGGTAGACAAACATAGCCTAAACTTGTCTTGTATTTTACGAACTATTTAGAGGTATGAATATTTGATTTTTCATTATAAATATGTCACAATCTCTTGAAAATATAATATAATTTGATCGTGTAAAAAAAAAAATTGATAAAATTAGAAAAAATAAATAATGTAAGTAATCATCAAATCAAAATTAGATAAAAGAACTAAATAAGTTCACAATCATCTAATATTTCCATAAAATAAGAGAACTAAAATTTTAAAATAAAATTGTTCATAGTATATATTAAAAACTATATTAGTTGTAAATAGAAATGTAATCACCAAATCAGTTTGCGATAAATAGGGCACGACACAACATCTTAAAATCAATTTAATATGATTTTCAAAATCAGAAAAATGATCTCATAATAAAGAAAAATATTTCGAATAATAATAATAATAATAATTTACATAAATGTATGCAACAAATTAAATTTCTAGTTCTTTTATACGAAATCATACATTTTATATTAAATGGTACTATGTTAAATATAAGGATCCGTTTGATTGCAAAGATGGAATTTGGATGGAAAAAAAAAAGAATTACAGGGAATTGGATTATCTAGAAATTGTTTTCTTGAGAATCGTAAATTATTGTGTTTGATTGGTATAATTTTTCAAATGAAAAATATTGAAATAAAAGTATTTTTTGGTATTCGTTTGACTTTATTTTACATGAAAATTGTCAATTAAAGGAATTGAATACTGGTATTGGGGATGAAATTTATTTCCATTGCCAAAACAAAAAAAAAAAAAATTTCAAGAAAATCATTTATCTTTTAGTGTTCGTTTGACTTTGTTTTACATAAAAATTATCCATTAAAGAGAATTTTTTTTTTACAATAATTCTTAGAATTTATTTTCATTGCCCGAAAAAAAAAAAAAAAAAAGGTCAACAGTAACCGGGAACATCAATTCCCACTATATTGGTGGGAATTGATTTTCCCAAAAAGCAAGAAAAATGCAATTCCCAAGAAATCCAAGAATTTCTATTCCATGAAAAATAAATTTCAATCAAACACACCAAAGTTGAAAAATGTCATCCAAATTCCATTTTCCATGGAAATAAATTATCAATCAAACGGTGCCTAAAGGTAGAATGACATATAACTAAATATAAGAGGGAATCGGATTATCTAGAAATTGTTTTCCTGAGAATCGTAAATTATTGTGTTTGATTGGTATAATTTTTCAAATGAAAAATATTGAAATAAAAGTGTTTTTTGGTGTTCGTTTGATTTTATTTTACATGAAAATTGTCAATTAAAGGAATTGAATACTGGTATTGGGGATGAAATTTATTTCCATTGCCAAAATCAAAAAAAAAAAATTTCAAGAAAATCATCTATCTTTTAGTGTTCGTTTGACTTTGTTTTACATAAAAATTATCCATTAAAGAGAATTTTTTTTTACAATAATTCTTAGAATTTATTTTCATTGGCTGAAAAAAAAAAAAAAGTCAACAGTAACCGGGAACATCAATTCCCACTATATTGGTGGGAATTGATTTTCCCAAAAAGCAAGAAAAATGCAATTCCCAAGAAATCCAAGAATTTCTATTCCATGAAAAATAAATCTCAATCAAATACACCAAAGTTGAAAAATGTCATCCAAATTCCATTTTCCATGAAAATAAATTGCCATTCAAACGGTGTCTAAGGGTAGAATGACATATAACTAAATATATAAGGGTAAAATTGATATTCAAAAGTTTCTCCTCAATCACTTTTAATATATTGTAGATGTAGATGAAGTCTATAGTGTAAACAATTTCTAAATTTAAACTCACCAAATTGATAAACCTAGAAAATTTCTAAGCTTGAAATCTCGAAGAATGGCTCAAAGGGGGAATAATGTTGTTGCAGCTAACCAATCTGAACGGGCACGGCTACATTCGATCCAACCCCGGCACACCGATAAATGAGGTACAATCATATCAAGAAGATTTAATGTAATTTCATCACAAAAATCATTAAAAATCAATTAATGATAAATAAAATTGTATTGATTTTGAGGTATAAATGAAATACAATAAATAACGGATTATCAATTACTTGAAGAGTTATTCTTTCCCACTATTTTTTTTTATCAGTTAAGAATTTGAAATCACTCTCTAGTAATGCAATGATTTATTAAGAGAACTAAAATTTTAAAATAAAATTGTTCATAGTATAAATAAAAAAAATAAACTATATTAGTTGGAAGTACAAATGTAATTGTAGGATAATTTATTATCTTAAATCACTGAATCTTTCATGTTAAATTATCAAGAAATACATAAAAATGGCGGAAGTGTACCTGAATCAGACATGTTAATACAATAATAAATTTCGCAGTATAGTCTTACAAATCTACATACAGTCTTCTTTTCTTTCTGTGACGGGATTCAGTAGAGAATGAATAATACGTACGTGTGATCTGGAGGCCATAACCGTATTTATATATAGCGACGCCCTTTAACCTAATTCGGCCCATTATGAAATTAGGAACTTGAGCCCGATCTCTACATATTTATAAATGGGAAAATTTCATAAACAAGAGATTAAGTATAGTATATTTCAAAATTAAGAAAACAAGTTTCAAACTTCCAAAATCAAATTTTTATTAAAATATATTTATGATTTAATTAATTTATTAATTAAATATATTTAGGTCACATATCTATAGAGTTTGGTCACAACTTAACAATTTAATTAATCACTTATTATTTTTTGATCACAAATCAAAAATTTTATGTCAAAAATTATTTTACGATCACAATTCAAAAAATTTATAGGCCACAATTTGTTCATTGGTCACAAATTAAAAAATTAATTAGTCATGGATTAATCTTTAGTCACAACTAATCAAATTATTGGTCACAGATCGAAAATTTTATAGGTCACATATTATTCTTAGGTCACGAATAAAAAAATTTATAAGTCGCGGGATAATTTTTGGTCACAGTTACCTAATTAATTAGTCACAAATTAATTTTTAGTCACAAATTATCAAATTATTGATCACAACTTATTTTTTGGTCACAAATCAAAATTTTTATAAGTCACAGGATAAATTTTGATTGCAAATTCACAAAATTTATAGGTCACATATTCAAAAATATTATTGATCACAACGTATTTACTCATTGTAAATTATTGAATTAATTAGTCACAATTATTTTTTTCAATCATAATTTAATAAAAAATGAGTCACAATCGGAAGTTACAATCACAATTTTCAGGTTACGATTAACTTTACGATCACAACTTAATCAATTGTGAGTCACAATCATAATTATCAGGTCACATATCCAATTATTAATAGCAATCACGTAGATAATTGGTCACAACCATTCAAACGGTCACAGATCGAAAATCACAATTTACTTATAGGTCACATATCACTAATATTATAGGTCACAACAATCACAATTTATTAATTTTTTGGGTCACACATTATTTTTTAGTCACAATTTATTTTTTTCATTGATCACACATTATTTATTTTATTTATTGGTCAATGATTAATCAATTCACTAGTCACAATTGACCAAATATTCTGTGACCATCGCTCCCAACAACACTACCACCACCGTGACCACCACCACACTGTTTACAAATTATCCAATAAACAAATTTCAACTGTGAGCAACACCACCTCCTCAAACCGCTATCGTCGCCCCCAAGCAACACCACCACGTACCACACAACACCACTACCACCAGCAGCACAACCAAAACCGCCACGACTAGCGTACTGCCCCCCACGAACACCACCACCATCGCACCGCCCCCACCAGAAAAAATCCCCAATCTGCCACTGGACTCTACCACCATCCTACAGCCCGTATCAACAACCCCCACCGCCCGTATCAACACCTCCACTCAGCCACAACACCACCACATACAACCCACCACAAACACATCACCACCACCACGCACAACCACCGCCCATAGTACACATACAATACCACCACATTACAAGCCGAAGACACTACACAACCACAACACACAACACAATACCCAGCCACCGGTCACCACACATAACCACAACATCGCACCACCACCCACTGCACAAGATCTGCAGCGCCCATGGAGAAACACAGACATTGAACGCATCGCGCCAAGTTGCAAGTGAAGCTCGAAGGCATCGTACGGTCCCAGTAAGCGCCGCAACGGTGATGGTGATGGCGATTCACGCTTCTTCTGCCCAACAATAAACCTATATCGTTGCTGGCAAGTAATATATCATCGACATATAAGACCAGAAAAATATACTTACTCCCACTGAATTTGTGGTATATACAATCATCGATCAAATTCATCTCAAACCAAATGAGATTTTCACTTGATGAAACTTGTAATACCATTGACGAGACGCCTGTTTGAGTTCATAGATGGATTTCTTTAATTTACAAACCATTTGCTTTGCATCGTCCAATACAAAGTTTTCTGGTTGTACCATATCAATTGTTTCATCAATGTCACCATCGAGAAGCGCTATCTTAAAATCCATCTGATGTAACTCAAGATCGAAATGCGCTACCAATGTCATTATAGTCCTGAAAGAGTCTTTCGAAGACACCGGAGAAAAAGTCTCTTTATAATCAATGCCTTCTTTTTGTGTAAAGCCCTTTGCGACAAGACGAGTCTTATACCTCTCTACATCACCTTTCGAATTCCTCTTGATCTTAAATATCCATTTGCAACCAATGAGTTTCGCACCTTCAGGCAATGAAACGAGGTTCCATACATCATTGTCCTTCATGGACTTTATCTCTTCATTCATGGCATTGAGTCACTTTTGAGAGTTAGAACTTTCCATGGCTTGACGAAAGTTGATTAGATCATCTTCCACCATTTCAACGTCAACTTCATGTTCTTGGAGAAATACGATGTAATCATCCGAAAC